GTGCTCGATCGACTCACGCGGCGACACGAGGCAAAAGGATTATCGTTTTTCCTCCGCGTAGCAGCGGCGGCATCGAGAGCTCCCCGACAAAACGCAGGAATTTCGTGAGACCATGTCGCAGAAACGATAAACGGAATGCGGTTGCGCGCGTACCTCGACCCGGAATAGAAGACGGAACAAAGCTTTCATAATGGCGGAGGTCGTTGCAATTATGTGCATCGCGTGGCACGCGGAAAAAGTGCCGTCCGACCGATCGTAAATCTTAACGAGTCTGTGGGGATAATGATTTTCGAAGTCCATCGTGGGACGCAACTCACCCGGCGAACTTTCGCGACACGTAAGGTGCACGGTTTACCGAATCGTCTGAAGATCCTCGGATGAGTCGCTGGACGGCCACGTGGTCGCTTCGGTCACGCGGTTGTTCATCTCACTTTTGGAAGAGCACAGCTCTTCTGAAACATAATCTGGCGCTGGCGCGAGAGCCAGTGCCAGCGTCGTACGCGCGCGAGCCGGAACCTGATGTCACGACTTTAAACAGCTGTCCTCGCTAATAAGTCAACGATAGCGACATGAAATTAAAAGCAATGTCTTTGGCATGCTTCTGTGCCGTTCTTTCATCGCCCATTTCGAAAACTGGAGCGTCGCGATCAATTTAAGCACAGCGAGGCGAACAACGGCTAGGTCGCGTAAGCGCGCCTCTGACAACTAGCCCCGCACAGCGAGCCGGCCGACCAATGATCTCTAACCTCACACAATGGCCGCGACTGGTCAATGACAACAAACCCTGTGGCCGGTTCAATGTGCGGGATTAGTTGTCAGGGATGGCTTGTGCGGCCAGCTGTTCGTTCCTACAATCGATCACGATACTCAAATTTTCCAAATAAGCAATGATTTTCCTCGACAACCGCTGAGTCGAAATTTTGGTCCTATGTTAAAATGTCAGAATTTCGAATAGGTTAAATAGAATCAAAAGAAATTGATGTAGGAAATTGATTCGGAGTATCAAAATAACTTTGTTGAATGGAATAGTAAGGTTGAAAGTAGGATCAAAATTTCGACTCGGGTTCCCTTTGGACAATCCTCGTGGTCGGCTCGTAATAAGCGAAAGTTGAGTCGAAATTTTGATCCTACTTTCAGCCTCGCCATTCCATTCGACACGTATTTTGCGTGCGGGTTAATGCGTCAAAATTCGTGCGACAGATATGTAGATACATAGACATCGCGGAGCATGATACGGAAACGAGATTCGATGTGCCTTATCTATTGTTTCGGGCGATCTTGCGTGAACCGATAAAGCAGATTCCGAAATGACTCGTAAAAGCCGACCGCGGTGTTACGGGCCGATGCGACGGCGCAGCGTCGACGGCAGCTCGTACTTTGCGGCGCGGGTTTACAAATACGCGGATCAATTCCGGGCTTTATCGTCCCGGCTGGCGGCCGGGATTGGATTGAACGTTTCGTCCACTAAAGCTGAATGCGCGTGTGCGTGCGTGTACGTGTACGACGTGGCATGCCCGCGTAGGCACGCGACACGCACGCGAGCGGACGACTTGTCGATTAAATATTCGCGATGCATGTTGCGACAATATAATTCAGTTGCCACCGTCAGTGTGTGTCCTATTCTTCCTCTTCCTTCTCATCGATCGACCCGTATCGTCGACGAAACAACTATTCCCAGTCGAAATTTCGATTCTACTTTCGACCTCAATATTTCATTTGCCGCCGCCTATTTGGGATATTCATATCGACCTTTTTGGGTTATATTTAAATTATCAATTTCGCCGAGAAATTCTCTTTTGACAAGTGCCACTTTATGCGGCTTCTATCGTTTGGAGGCGCCAAGTAGGATTTCAGTTCCTTTATGTATTACATGTGCACAAATCCTTTAAAATACACAGGTGTTAGAAAGTTTAGATCCAAAGTAGGACTGACATTTTGAACTCGAGATAAATGAGTTGTCTACTCGCGCAGTTACGCGGAATTTAAAGACTCGCGGATTTATTATATCGCGCGGCGTGAAACACGGCGATCGCAACATTTCCCTCGGAAGCGACAGAATGTTCGATTGCGCGATTGCGAGAAAATAACTCGAGAAAAACGCATCTGGGACGTTGTTGAAAAAAAAAGGAAAAAACTGTACCGGAAATCGACTTTTCAGGGAGATCTATGTCTGGCGGGATGAATACACTCCGCCCGTCAATTTTGTGCGGTCTAAATTCGCTGGATGACACCACCGCCATCGGTATTCATAGACGCGTATTTTAGCTGCTCGATAAAGAGAAGCTTCACAATCCTGATTGCTGCCATCACGATCAACAACTCATTCGGAATAATTCAAGCGAGCGAGCGAGCTTCTCGCGACAGTTTCGCATCGAATGCGGTATCATAACGCGTTTTAAATCGTGAATACGTTCTGAACGAAATTATTTCCGCGGCCGTGCGATTCCACAAAATGTCGTCTTATAAATATTTGATCAAACCTTATTCCCAATCTCTCTTATAATATATAAATCCATTCCCCGTCTTTCTCCCGGATAGGATTCTATCTTGGCTCTCTTTCGGTAACTTTAGTTCGGTTGCAGAAAAGATCTATAATTAAACGTCGCGGTTAAAATTACGCTAATGACAAGCCTTAGACCGCGAATTTAATTATAAATCTTTCCACTGCGAAGCGCGAGCTCGAGTTAGCCGGAGAGACGACGATTAAAATTAGTCTCTCTCCTCAATCGACGGTATTCGAAAGAGCAGAAACCGTCTGTCACAAAATTGCCACTTCACGTTCGAGCAACGCACTCTCGACTTATCGAGAGTCCGTAACCAATTCATTTTCTCCGCGCGACCCACTTTGCGCCACTGCTCTCCGCCGGAGGAATCACATTTCTCCACCTTCGCCTCGTGTTTCGCAGGATGTGCGAGCACTCTTTTTACCCTCGATAAAAAAGAGAAACATGAATCCTCGGAGAGTTCTGTTTGCACGCGTCTCACATGCGTACCTTTAATATTTCTTTCGCGTTTATAGTCGAACCCGATGCCCGGCCTGATATATCAGGTCATATTGGATTTATGAAGCCTCGTTATAACGGTAGAATACTGAGTTTTTCTAGACAGGGAATCATACGGCACGCTGGACGCGCTCGAACGGAAAACGCCGCGGGATTTACATGACTATCAAATCGGGCCGAGTTGCGACATCGCGGTGTCGCTGATACAAGACGGCTACAACTTCAACGTAGGATAAGAATCGCGCGGCCATAAAGCGTAACCACAGCCACCGTTCATTCGTCTCTTGGCCCGTCCGCATTTCTTCGTCTTCATTTAAGCGCGTGTTTTAATCGCGAGAACGCAATTAGAGACTCAACGTTAATTTTTACGCCGGCCACCATGTCACTATCATGGTCCGGCGATTACGCGTGAGCTCCTCCTCCTCCTCCTCCTCCTCCTCCTCCTCCTGGGATATTACATGTCTTTCGGTTCGCAACACGCAATGTGAAGCGCACAATGCGCGAATAACTTTCGAGACCGCATAATTTCGAGTCAGTCGCGGCAAGGGAACGTAAACTGACCGTAAAAACGTTCATTTTAATCAAAAATTATTCTTCTGCGCGATTTTCTACGGAACATGTAACACTGTGAGGCATCAACACAGCTACTTCTGAATGACATTATCCCGCGACGATCTTGATAAATGATTATTTCCATAATTTTTATGCGATGTGTGAAAATATCCTGAAAGATCCCAAAGGAGAACCACGATATTTCTTGTTAAACCTCGAAGAGGTCTTCTCTAAGTGTAATACGACTTTGAGTATTGAACATTTATAGAAAACAAAATCTAATTTTAGTGATTTTATAATAACCCAACTCTCGTCGGAGAGATGATGTTTCCAGACACGGAGTAGTAGTTTACGTCGTTGCCGTGCGGATTTCTCGAGGCCGGTCCGTCCCTGAGACGGTGGTTCGCGTTCGCGGCACGCAAAGCCACGTGGAGAGCCGACAAAGGTGCCTTATCGCGACTAATTTATACTTTAAGAGCGACTACCGCGGCGTGTCGTACGAGGAACGTGGAAAAGTATCGCGAAACTTGGCGCATAAATTCTCCGGGGGTT